GGGGGCAACAACAGGGAATACATCAGCCAAGGTACGCTATTTACATACTTACTTTCTAACGTAATCCTCTTAGTTACTGGAGGAACATATGGCCTGTAGCCAAGGTAGCAGCATAGGTTTTAGATGATGTCTCCGTGTAACATAGAACAAAAGTCCATCTCTATTTATATCTGTGCTTGTGTGCACTGTCATATCATAGCTATGTGATTTTAGTAAATAAGATTTGAAGTGTAAGTGCTTCTAAAAGTAACTAGATGTTTTTTATTTTTGTTGTATTACTAGGCAACAGTTACCAGGGCCACGGCGGGGGCTTTGACTTCCCCCATGGGAACCCCGGTGGTACGACCATGAACGACTTCCTGCACGGCCCCGCGCTGTCCCACCAGCCAGAGATGTCCACCAGCCTCGTGGCCCAGGACAAACCCCTCTCACGCGGCATACCCGACCCAGTAAGTCATCATCCTGTTCCAGCATTGTAGTAGAGATTTGTGGGCACTAAAAAGTTAGGTTGCGGTGTGGTATTGGCAGAACAATATCCGCATGGCGCTTTAGTGTCATCTAGCATATGCAACATGGATCTCGATCTAGTGTCATCTAGCATATGCAACACGGATATCTATCTAGTGTCTTCTAGCATATGCAACATGGATATCTATCTAGTGTCTTCTAGCATATGCAACATGGATATCTATCTAGTGTCTTCTAGCATATGCAACATGGATATCTATCTAGTGTCTTCTAGCATATGCAACATGGATATCTATCTAGTGTCTTCTAGCATATGCAACATGGATATCTATCTAGTGTCCTTTAGCATATGCAACATGGATATCTATCTAGTGTCTTCTAGCATATGCAACATGGATCTCGATCTAGTGTCATCTAGCATATGCAACACGGATATCTATCTAGTGTCTTCTAGCATATGCAACATGGATCTCGATCTAGTGTCATCTAGCATATGCAACATGGATATCTATCTAGTGTCTTCTAGCATATGCAACATGGATCTCGATCTAGTGTCATCTAGCATATGCAACATGGATATCTATCTAGTATCTTCTAGCATATGCAACATGGATATCTATCTAGTGTCTTCTAGCATATGCAACATGGATATCTATCTAGTGTCTTCTAGCATATGCAACATGGATATCTATCTAGTGTCTTCTAGCATATGCAACATGGATCTCGATCTAGTGTCATCTAGCATATGCAACACGGATATCTATCTAGTGTCATCTAGCATATGCAACATGGATCTCGATCTAGTGTCATCTAGCATATGCAACATGGATATCTATCTAGTGTCTTCTAGCATATGCAACATGGATCTCGATCTAGTGTCATCTAGCATATGCAACATGGATATCTATCTAGTGTCTTCTAGCATATGCAACATGGATCTCGATCTAGTGTCATCTAGCATATGCAACACGGATATCTATCTAGTGTCTTCTAGCATATGCAACATGGATATCTATCTAGTGTCATCTAGCATATGCAACATGGATATCTATCAAGTGTCTTCTAGCAATAGTTTCTCACAAAAAACCTGTACACTGGTAGTTAAAAAAAAACGAGTTAACCTTTTAGTGCCTGCAACTGTACAGTGCTGTAGATGAAGTCATATGCTTTACAGTACTGTAGATGAAGTCATATGCTTTACAGTACTGTAGATGAAGTCATATGCTTTACAGTACTGTAGATGAAGTCATATGCTTTACAGTACTGTAGATGAAGTCATATGCTTTACAGTACTGTAGATGAAGTCATATGCTTTACAGTACTGTAGATGAAGTCATATGCTTTACAGTTCTGTAGATGAAGTCATATGCTTTACAGTACTGTAAATGAAGTCATATGCTTTACAGTACTGTAGATGAAGTCATATGCTTTACAGTACTGTAGATGAAGTCATATGCTTTACAGTACTGTAGATGAAGTCATATGCTTTACAGTACTGTAGATGAAGTCATATGCTTTACAGTACTGTAGATGAAGTCATATGCTTTACAGTACTGTAGATGAAGTCATATGCTTTACAGTACTGTAGATGAAGTCATATGCTTTATCTGTATCTTGCTCTCTTCCCAGATAACTCATCCTGCCAGAACTGACCAGTCCCACGGCCCGTTGCAACAGAGCTTACACGCCCCCTCTCACCCCGGCGGCCACTTGGGACAGCCGTTGCATCACAGTGGGCCTCCTCAGCCCTCGCGACAACAGGCTCCGCCCCCACAGCAACAGCATCCCGGCCCTAACGACCGCCTGCAGCAGTGCGACCCCTTCAACCCATCAGACAGCTTATTGAGCCAGGGCGGAGGGCAGGCGCTCCCAGATATGCCCCAACCTTCCTTGGATGTAAGATATTTAGATCAGGATGATTATGAGATGATTATAAGATTTTATAAAGGTGTCATACAATCTCTTGACAAGTGAAGGGAAAAGAGGGATACCTAGTCAGTTGCATAACCGAAATGTGTCTTCCACATTTAACCCAACCCCTCCGAATCAGAGAGCATTATAACTGCATCGCAAATTCATTATTACCTGCAGGATAGATTTCAAGTGTTTTTAACACACGCTATTTAATCCAGACTGTTGTTCACGGTTTCATTAAGCGCTTCAATGCCAATCAATGTAAGACCAATAACCTCGCTAGAGTCATAGAGATGTATCTATATATGTTTGGCTGTGAAGCTCTGTCCCCATAGTGATACCTAACTAACTTCTGTGTTGTCTTCTCCCCTCCCTCTGTAGCTCCTTCCAGACCTGGCTAACCCAGATGACTTGTTGTCTTCTCCCCTCCCTCTGTAGCTCCTTCCAGACCTGGCTAACCCAGATGACTTGTTGTCTTCTCCCCTCCCTCTGTAGCTCCTTCCAGAGCTGGCTAACCCAGATGACTTGTTGTCTTCTCCCCTCCCTCTGTAGCTCCTTCCAGACCTGGCTAACCCAGATGACTTGTTGTCTTCTCCCCTCCCTCTGTAGCTCCTTCCAGAGCTGGCTAACCCAGATGACTTGTTGTCTTCTCCCCTCCCTCTGTAGCTCCTTCCAGAGCTGGCTAACCCAGATGACTTGTTGTCTTCTCCCCTCCCTCTGTAGCTCCTTCCAGACCTGGCTAACCCAGATGACTTGTTGTCTTCTCCCCTCCCTCTGTAGCTCCTTCCAGAGCTGGCTAACCCAGATGACTTGTTGTCTTCTCCCCTCCCTCTGTAGCTCCTTCCAGAGCTGGCTAACCCAGATGACTTGTTGTCTTCTCCCCTCCCTCTGTAGCTCCTTCCAGAGCTGGCTAACCCAGATGACTTGTTGTCTCCCCTCCCTCTGTAGCTCCTTCCAGACCTGGCTAACCCAGATGACTTGTTGTCTTACCTGGACCCTCCAGACCTCCCGAGCAGTAGCAACGATGACCTTCTCTCTCTCTTTGAAAACAACTGACTGATTCTAGATCAGCTCATGAACACTGCCTGGAGTTGGCCTATAACCTCTGACCTGAGAGTGAGACAGTGACCTTTGCTCCAGTACTTGACAAACACAAAGATGCACTCCTTTACTCCTCTTCCTCTTGTACAGTATTCATTGATTCTCCAGCAGACTGGCTGACTGACTGACCGACAGACTGATTGACTGGCTGACTGACAGACTGACTGACTGACTGACTGACTGACTGACTGGCTGACTGGCTGACTGACTGACTGACTGACCGACAGACTGATTGACTGGCTGACTGACTGACTGAAAGATGTTTTAAAACTCAAAGACATGGCAGGACAGGGTAGGGCAGGTTGGGGCAGTGAGTGGTGCCTGCCTCCCTGCCTCCCACTGCAGCGCCCCCATGTGGCCATCCGTGATACCTTTTGAACTGTGCAGCTATCTATCTGACATTCAGTTCATGTTGTATGTCACAAGTGTCTGTGTGTACATTTAGGAAAGTGTTGACACATTTTTTTATTCATATTTTGGTTCCTTTTAACAAAGAAAAAAGCTATTCATTATATATATATATATGAAAACGTTTTTATTTTTAAGAAACGTCCTTCCCTATCTGGCCAGTGTATGTAATATCCACCTTGTTATTTCAACCTATGAAGCCGGCTCAGCTTCCTGTTGTCCAAAACGTTTTCACAGCTACTGTTCCTGACTGGTTACTACGTAGCACTGTTCGTCTGCCTGTCTTCTGGCGTGTTATGTAAAAGCACAAGAGATTATGGTAATGCTAAAAAAAAAAATAGATATATACATACATATACACACACATCTCAAAGGAAAGAAAACACACTAATGACACAACCAACAGAACAAGAGGACCCAGTGTCATCAATTGATTGATTGATTGATTGATTGATTGATTGATTGATTGATAGTGTATCAAGCTTGATCTCCCATCTGTCTATCGATCCTGTCAGGCCTGTATCAAGCTAGATCTCCCATCTGTCTATCGATCCTGTCAGGCCTGTATCAAGCCAGCTAGATCTATCTGTCGATCCTGTCAGGCCTGTATCAAGCTAGCTAGATCTATCTATCGATCCTGTCAGGCCTGTATCAAGCCAGCTCTCCCATCTCCTATTGATCCTGTCAGGCCTGTATCAAGCCAGCTCTATCTATCGATCCTGTCAGGCCTGTATCAAGCTAGCTAGATCTATCTATCGATCCTGTATCAAGCCAGCTCTCCCATCTGTCTATCGTCCTGTCATCTCTGCACCGCCCTGTGTTGCTCCTCTAACCATTTTACAGATGTAGGATCTTCATTTTATCACCCTGTTGTTGCAGGAAATGCAAACTTGCAGTGTATTTTGAGGTTTGAACAAGCTTCTAAAGTTTGTAATTTCCACTTTAAAATGTGATATGCCCTAACTAAAATGTGCAATAATTATATAATCCACACAATAATTCACATTTCCTGTTGCTGCAGGAATTTTTTCCCTGCTATGTGAAACTGGTCAAATTAAGATCCTGCATCTATACAAAGTTGTGTCTATCTCTTCCTGTTTACCTTTGTACTGTTTTAAGTAGTATACAAAGTGCATGTGTGCCAAGCCCTTGTCTAGTGATATTTCCAAGTGGTAAAGACGGTGTGTGTGTGTGACCAAAATAGCTGCCTATTTCCTGTATAGTGCACTAATTTTGAGGGTACTAGGTGCCATTTTGGACACACACACACACACACACACACACACACACACACACACAAATACAAACACACACACACACACACACACACACACACGGTGTGCTTTTTTTGATGTTTTGATATTGTGTATTTTTTTTTCTATTTACTTTTTGTGGCTGCAAATTGTAACTATTCATCAACCATTTGGGGAAACTGCTTAACATCAACCTTAGAGGGATTGGGATGCAAGTGTGTGTGTGTGTGTGTGTGTGTGTGTGTGCACGTTTTACTATAACAGTGCCTTCAGAAAGTATTCAGACCCCTTGACTTTTTCCACATTTTGTGACGTTACAGCCTTATTCTAAAATGGAAAAATTTCTATATCCTCAGCAATCTACACACAATACCCCATAATGACAAAGCGAAAAGAGGTTTTTAGAAATGTTTGCTAATTGATTAAAAATAAAAAACGGAAATACCTTATTTACATCCGTATTCAGACCCTTTGCTATGAGACTCGAAATTGAGCTCAGGTGCATCCTGTTTCCAATGATCATTCTTGAGATGTTTATACAACTTGATTGGAGTCCACCTGTGGTCAATTCAATTGATTAGACATGATTTGGAAAGGCACACACCTGTATATATAAGGTCCCACAGTTGACAGTGCATGTCAGAGCAAAAACCAAGCCATGAGATCGAAAGAATTGTCTGTAGAGCTCCGAGACAGGATTGTGTCGAGGCACAGATCTGGGGAAGGGTAACAAAAAATGTCTGCAGCATTGAAGGTCCCCAAGAACACAGTGGCCTCCATCATTCTTAAATGGAAGAAGTTTGGAACCACCAAGACTCTTCCTAGAGCTGGCCGCCCGGCCAAACTGAGCAATCGGTGGAGAAGGGCCTTGGTCAGGGAGGTGACCAAGAACCCGATGGTCACTCTGTCAGAGCTCTAGAGTTCCTCTGTGGAGATGAGAGAACCTTCCAGAAGGACAACCATCTCTGCAGCACTCCACCAATCAGGCCTTTATGGTAAAGTGGCCAGACGGAAGCCACTCCTCAGCAAAAGGCACATGACAGCCCGCTTGGAGTTTGCCAAAAGGCACCTAAAGACTCTCAGACCATGAGACACAAAATTCTCTGGTCTGATGAAACCAAGATTGAACTCTTTGGCCTGAATGCCAAGCATCACGTCTGGAGGAAACCTGGCACCATCCCTACGGTGAAGCATGGTGGTGGCAGCATCATGCTGTGGGGATGTTTTTCAGTGGCAGGGACTGGGAGACTAGTCAGGATCGAGGCAAAATGAAAACCTGCTCCAGAGCGCTCAGTACCTCAGACTGGGGTGAAGTTTCACCTTCCAACAGGACAACGACCCTAAGCACACAGCCAAGACAATGCAAGAGTGGCTTCGGGACAAGTCTCTGAATGTCCTTGAGTGGCCCAGCCAGAGCCCAGACTTGAATCCAATCAAATATCTCTGGAGAGACCTGAAAATAGCTGTGCAGCGACGCTCCCCATCCAACCTGACAGAGCTTGAGAGGATCTGCAGAGAAGAATGGGAGAAACTCTCCAAATACAGATGTGCCAAGCTTGTAGCGTCATACCCAAGAAGACTTGAGGCTGTAATCGCTGCCAAAGGTGCGTCAACAAAGTACTGAGTAAAGGGTCTGAATACTTACGTAAATGTGATATTTCAGTTCTTTTTTATTTGTAAACATTTCAAAAAAAATGTTTTTGCTTTGTCATTATGGGGTATTGTGTGTAGATTTATGAGGGGGAAAAAAACAATTTAATCAATTTTAGAATAAGGCTGTAACCTAACAAAATGTGGGAAAAGTCAAGGGGTCTGAATACTTTCCGAATGCACTGTACTTGGGAGTACCAGAAGTCCTCACAAGAATAGTAAAACATTTTATTTTTTTTGAGAAGTGAGGACATTGTAAAAAGGCTATTTTAGGGTTAGAATTAGGAGTTAGGGTTAGGTTTAGGTAAGGTTTAGGGATAATAGGATTTTGAATGGGAATCAATTGTTTGTCCCCAAAAAGTCCTCAGAAGTATAGTATGTCATAGAGTGCTGTTGAGTATGCAAATGTGTAATTTTTTAAAGAAAAGCTATTGCAAATATAATTGTGAATATTTTTGTATCATCTTGATAATTCTTTGTCCTTTTACATAATTGGTTAAAGTCCAACTGATCCGCAACACATCCTCCCAAACAAAGCCAACATTGACTGTGAGGAGGGAGAAGACATACAGAGACAGATTGCGTCCCAAATGCTATTCCCTATATAATGCGCTACTTTGGGACCAGGGCCCAAAGGGAAACCCACAGGGTTCTGGTCAAAAGTAGTACACTACAAAGGGAATAGGGTGCCATTTGGGACACTACAAAGGGAATAGGGTGCCATTTGGGACGCAGCGTTCTGTCTCTGTATGTCTTCTCGCTCCTCTCATAGATGAACCTTTCAATCCAAATGTCTCATTGTCAGCTATATACTGCATATCTCTCTCTCTCTCTCTGTCTCTGTCTCTGTCTCTGTCTCTGTCTCTGTCTCTGTCTCTGTCTCTCTCTGTCTCTGTCTCTGTCTCTGTCTCTCTCTCTCTGTCTCTGTCTCTGTCTCTGTCTCTGTCTCTGTCTCTGTCTCTGTCTCTCTCTCTCTCTCTCTCTCTCTCTGTTGTGGTTCATCCACTTTAACTAAACCAGTGCACCCAGTTAGAATCCACTATGTTCCTAGACAGGTACTGTAGCCTATGTTACTGCTATAAGCCGCGTCCCAAATTGGCATCCTTTTCCCTGTGTAGTTCACTACTACTTCTGACAAGGCTGCTTTGGTCTCTGGACAAAAGTCAGGCACTATGTGGTGAATAGGGTGCTATTTGGGACGTGGCTCCTCTCTGTCTCCCAAGGTCTTCATCCCTGATATCGGTCAAGATAGTCACAGCCATTTCTAAAGATAAAGATTAAAATTAAAATGACATTTCAAGTCTGATAAAGCAAAATTCAAAAATGCAAATATATGTTTTGGTGCTCAAAAGGTTGTAGAGTAAAATTAATATAGATGTCGTCTATTCGAGAACTAACATCGTTTTTTTTTTTTGTAAGAACGGACAATGATGATTTAAAAACCTGTAGCTATCCGCTCTCTTTCAATGTTATTCGAGAACTATGTGAATATCTTAAATGTTGCTAATTATTGTCAATATACAAGTGGTATTTTAAATATATCACAGCCTTATGTTAAAGAAATGTATGATATTGTTTTTATTTTTGTTATGGAAAATGTGGCTTTCTTAAAAACCTAAGACCATTTACATTTAGTTTCCCATTTTAAATGTTGTTTTTTCTTTTTTTTGGTAAATTATTTTCTATTGGTTTTTATTTTCTTATAAATGTATAGCTAAAAATATCATTTCATTTAACTGTAGCAATGTACTGATTAAAACATCCTGATTATTGTAAGCATAGCCTAACATTTTAAACTGAATTATGCTCTAGAAATAGGTTATGTTACAGTACAAGAGAGACATATTATTGGATGTTGATAGAATAACTGATATCAATGTAGCGCCTCTCACTTAAATCATGAAATCAATTGCTCAATCTTTTGACAACGCACTGCCACGTCCCTATTTCTGTTTATTTAATATCTGAATTGAAACCTAAACTATATCATTCCCATGGAGATACTTAGCTCTAGTTCAGGGTGTTAGGTACGTGTAAGGCACTGGATCAGAGCTAAGAGGTACAAAGCTATCATTTTGCATATATATATATTTACATATGAACAGGTTTGATTTAGTAGGCACCCCAAATCTGTAACAATCACCTTAAAGTATAGTCTTTCTGTGGAAAATACAGTTTCAAATGGGGAAAACAAAAACCATTTAGGCTTAGGAAGGATCTGCAGGGGATGCAATGACATAATGGCTATCTGTTGGCCCTAGGATAGGCCTGTACATATGTAAATGAATAGAGACTTGTGAACAGAAATATATTCATTTTCACCTGGGTATGTGCATTGTTTTATTCAGAATAATATAAAAAAGCTTGCAACCCCTCTATTGGATGAAGACATGGCTGACTATGGAACATTTAAAATGTCTTAGTTAGTTAAACTGTTCGCTGGTCTGTGGAGAAATCTCTTCTTGGCATTTTCGTTCCCCTTCTCTGTAATATACTTTGACCTCATTTGTTACCTAGGGGGACTGGGACAGCAATGTTTGACCGACATGTTGATATTGAGCCTACGTGTGCTAGTCTTATCACCTGCATATCTGAGGCGCTACGGTAAAACAATATGAAGAAAATACCATGCTAGAGGGGGGAAGGGTCAAAACCAAAAACAGATTGTAACCAAATCTACAGTTTGTACAATTTTGTAGATCATTTTGTAGATCATGCTCAAATAGAGAGAAAGAAATCAAAATGGTACAATCTAAGGTGATTAATTCACGAAAAAAAAACATTAGTCATTCGTCTCTGTTTGTACAATCATTTCATATTCTAATAACTGGTCAGAAAAAAAAAGGAACTAATTGTGATTTTTAGTCTTGCAGAATTATTGTATGTAGCTTAGATGGTGTGACAAGCGAATATTTATCTAATAAATATGTATTCAGATGATACCTGTAAACCATTGTTTTCTTTGTCATTGGTTATTTTTCTGGATTGTAAATATGCCTCAAATTGAGGCTCTATACCATATAACTGAATAGTCAGAAGGACATGTTATGTGAGTAGGTATGTTTATTTGATTTTAAAAAACAGTAATGTATTGTAAATTATTTGTAAAGAAATTTACACTAACCACATTTCCATCCACAGTTTTTTTTTTGCAAAGTAAACTTGGAGTCACATGATGATATGGTGTGTGGTCCACCCACTACCACTCGGGGAAACCGTGCAGTTTATTAAAAATACAGGGGGGAAAAATACAGGCGAAAAAATACAGGGAAAATATGTGTCCTTTCTTAATGAAACACCATTTTCCACCACCATGGTGATTGGCTAATGCCTAGGAATGCTAGTCCCAGATGTTGCGTAACGCGTTCAGCCAATCAGATTGCAGCAGGCTGTTTACACCTGGCTAAACGCAGGGCTCAACATCAGGAAGTAGCATTAGCCACTAGCATGGTGGTGGAAAATTGTGTTTCATAAAAGAAAATATGCATATTCTCTGAGGTTTTTTTCCTGCCTTCTAGCCATTAAATCTGTACTCCCTGTTCACCCACGACTGCGTGGCCACGCACGACTCCTACTACATGATTAGATTATTATGGACAAAAGAGCGAGATTATTTTTATTTGTCAAACGGCAGCCAGGCATCGATCATCATGTCTCCAGAATAAGACCCTCGATGTTGGAAAGGAGCATCAAGCTCATCACCGTGCACTTTCACCACCCTGTGAAGTTCATCCTTATTTATTTTATCTGTAGCCTAATAAACTGCATGCGTTCCCCGAGTCGTAGTTGGAGGACCACACAACATATCATTGCGTGACTCCAGGTTTACTTTGATATGATGGTAGCCTAGCGGTTAAGAGCGTTGAGCTAGCAACGGAAAGGTTGCTGGTTCGAAGCACCTAGCCGATTAGGTGAAATGTCTTGTAAATCCCTCTGGATAAAAGTGTCTGCTAAATATGCGTTTGACTACCACCACCGATTTATTTACGCTAGCTATGCTACCAGTTTATATGAATGGGAGTTAGCATTTAGTAGTCACTTCTAAACCTGAAAAGGACCAACTTCTAAATGGTATGCAGCAAAAACAGCCAAAAATACTGAACAAAAATACAAACGCAACATGCAACCATTTAAAAGATTTTGCTGTTACAGTTCATAGAAGGAAATCAGTCAATTGAAATAAATTAATTAGGCCCTAATCTATGGATTTCACATGACTGGGCAGGGGCACAGCCATGGGTGGGCCTGGAAGGGCAAAGGCCCACCCACTGGGGAGCCAGGCCCAACCAATCAGAATGAGTTTTTCCCCAAAGGGCTTTATTACAGAAATAGTCCTCAGCAACCCCTCCGAAGATCCCGCAGGTGATGAAGCCAGATGTGGAGGTCATGGGCTGGCGTGGTTACACGTGGTCTGCGGTTGTAAGGCCGGTTGGACGTACTGCCAAATTCTCTAAAATGACGTTGGAGGCAGCTTATGGTAGAGAAATGAACATTCAATTCTCTGGCAACAGCTCTGGTGGACATTCCTGCAGTCAGCATGCCAATTGCACTCTATGGCATTGTGTTGTGTGACAAAACTGTACATTTTAGAGTGGCCTGTTATTGTCCCCAGCACAAGGTGCACCTGGTTAATGATCATGCTGTTTAATCAGCTTCTTGATATGCCACAACTGTCAGGTGGATGGATTATCTTGACAAAGGATAAAATGCTCACTAACAGGGATGTAAACAAATTTGTGCACAACATTTGAGATAAATAAATATTTTTGTGCATATGGAACCTTTCTGGGATCTTTTATTTCAGCTCATGAAACATGGGACCAACACTTTACATGTTGCAATTATATTTTTGTTCAGTGTATATCCAAATCGGACTTTAGTAACCACATTGACCTCTTTACTGCATCTATCTATGCATAGAAACAGTTATGGGGTCTAACACCAACAGGGAACGCGCAAAAATGGTACACAGCATCATCTGGATATGTGTGCAACAAAAGTTCAACGTTCACCTTCTGCTACCATTTCTGTCAAGCCGTCTACACTTACAGTTTGACGCATATGTTAGATAAATCCAACGTATGCACCACACAGAACCCACTGCAACTGCTTCTGCAAAGCAACGCTACAAGGCAAACGCAGCGTTCCATTGGACATGAAATTGCACTTCTGTTGTATCCAAACTGCAAACACTATCGGTGTGTTCGAGGCGTAATGGTCGTCCCTCGCCTAACTGCGCATGTGCATGCCGTCAAATCAAAGGCACTCCTTCAATATAAAGTTGTTTTTTGACGAAAATGAAAACTTGTCAGTTTGTCACTTTCATGAGGTTGGAGTAGATAATGTGTTCAAACTATTTAAGAAATTGGCTCGAATCTAGGTTGTGCCTTTAGATTTCGAGAAAATTAACAACTAAGGAAGAATTGTTCACTTCTCAAACCCCGGCCTGGTTCGCAGCGTTCCCGGAAATCTCGCGATGTTGCGCCTCAGGGTTTAGAAACTCTTCCGAGTGATTGGGAAGAACTTCCTCCTGGCCATCGGCGGCATATGGAAGCACCTGACGTGGTATTTCACTCCATCTCAAGTCCATTCTGTGTTCACACGCAGCCTTAAAATGCTACTTACCGCTTTACCGAGTCGGGTCAAGCTCATTTCGGGATGTTCGTTGGCGTTTACCGCCGCTCGGATGTATTCTGCCGGCCCTGCAGCCACCAACCCAGTCGTCTACTTTGACATTGCTGCTGACCACCAGCCCGTCGGAAGAGTAACCTTCGAGGTGAGTTCAGTTGTCTTGACCAGGAACTTGATCCGATGGTTAGGTTACTAGGCTATTAAATGTGCATTTGTTTAGATTATTTTGGCCTCGGCCTTTGAGATAACGAGTAGGCATCGTATAATGCACCAGTTGTAACTTGAAACCAACGTGAAGACCGCTCAGTTGGACCTACAGCACAATGAATGAACATACCAGCCCTGTAGAGCTAGGCCTACTGTACAAACTAGCTACTAGTCTGATTAATCCGCCTGTAATACACTATTCATTGGGGAGTAAACGGCCTGAAACGAATGCCTGCGAAATCGTGTAAATATGCCTTATGTCCACCAGATGCATCAACTCTTTGCGTTCCGGCCGAAGTCATTCATTGGCAATGGAGCAGCATTGGGTGCCGCATGCGTTCAATATTTTCAACTCATAAATTGATTAATGTGTGGTGGGTACCAAACGGAAGCACACACAGACTATAACTAACTAGCATTTTAACTAGTTAAATGAAAAGCGAAGAAAGTGTGTCAAATGTGGATGCGTGCTAGACATCCAGCAAAACAAAACGCAAATACATCTGGAGGACATCGGGCATTACGCGCCAGAACATTTAATAAAAGTACATTTAAACGGTTGTCGGTGCCGTTTGTCCTTAAGTTGCTCGAAATTTGAAACAACATATACACAGGAAAGTATTGTTTACCAGACTTTTTAATAGGTATATGGTTCACTTCGGCACCGAGGTAAAGTTAGTTTTATATTGGATATTTATAGCTGATGAACCAAGCATGCCATGACAATAAAAAAAAAAAGTAGGTTGGAGCACAAACACCTTTTGTGTGAATTCATCATTTTTATTCAAATCTTAAATTATTGTTAAAAAAAAAAAAAAAAGTGTATATACAGTACCAGTCAAAGGTGTGGACACCTACTATTTTCTACATTGTAGAATAATAGTGAAGACATCAAAACTATGAAATAACACATATGGAATCATGTAGTAACCAAAAAAGTGTTAAACAAATAAAAATATATTTTATATTTGAGAATCTTCAAACAGCCACCCTTTGCCTTTATGACAGCTTTGCACACTCCTTGGCATTCTCTCAACCAGCTTCACCTGGAATACTTTTCCAACAGTCTTGAAGGAGTTCCCACATGTTGAGCACTTGTTGGCTGCTTTTCCTTCACTCTGTGGTCCGACTCATCCCAAACCATCTCAATTGGGTTGAAGTCGGGGGATTGTGGAGGCCAGGTCATCTGATGCAGCACTCCATCACTCTCCTTCTTGGTAAAATAGCCCTTACACCGCCTGGAGGTGTGTTGGGTCATTGTCCTGTTGAAAAACAAATGACAGTCCCATTAAGCCCGAACCAGATGGGATGGCGTATCGCTGCAGAATGCTGTGGTAGCCATGCTGGTTAAGTGTGCCTTGAATTCTAAATAAATCACAGACAGTGTCGCCAGCAAAGCACCCCTACACCATAACACCTCCTCCTCCATGATTTACGGTGGGAACTACACATGCGGAGATCATCCTTTCACCCACATCGCGTCTCACAAAGACACGGCGGTTGGAACCAAAAATCTCAAATTTGTACTCCAGACCAAAGGACGCGTTTCTACCCGTCTAATGTCCATTGCTCATGTTTTTTTGGCCCAAGCAGGTCTCTTCTTATTATTGGTGTTCTTCAGTAGTGGTTTCTTTGCAGAAATTCGACCATGAAAGCCTGATTCACACAGTCCCCTCTGAACAGTTGATGTTGAGATGTGTCTGTGACTTGAACTCTGTGAAGCATTTATTTGGGCTGCAATCTGAGGTGCAGTTAACTCTAATGAACTTATCCTCTGCAGCAGAGGTAACTCTGGGTCTTCCTTTCCTGTGGTGGTCCTCATGAGAGCCAGTTTCATCATAGCGCTTGATGGATTTTGTGACTGCACTTGAAGAAACGTTCAAAGTTCTTGAAATGTTCTGTATTGACTGACCTTCATGTCTTAAAGTAATGATGGACTGTCGTTTCTCTTTGGTTGTTTGAGCTGTTCTTTCCATAATATGGACTTGGTCTTTTACCAAATAGGGCTATCTTCTGTAAACCCCCCCTACCTTGTCACAACACAACTGATTGGCTGAAACGCATTAAGAAGGAATGAAATTCCACAAATTAACTTTTAAGAAGGCACACCTGTTAATTGAAATGCATTCCAGTTGACTACCTCATGAAGCTGGTTGAGAGAATGCCAAGAGTGTGCAAAGCTGTCAACAAGGCAAAGGGTGGCTATTTTTGAAGAATCTCAAATAAAATATATTTAGATTTGTTCAACACTTTTTTTTGGTTACTACATGATTCAATGTGTTATTTCATAGTTTTGATGTCTTCACTATTATTCTGCAATGAAAAAATAAAGAAAAACCCTTGAATGAGGAGGTCCAAACTTTTGACTGGTAGTGTACATACACATACAGTGCATTCGGAAAGTGTTCAGACCCCTTTTCCACATTTTGTTACGTTACAGCCTTATTCTAAAATGTATTAAATTGTTTTTTTTCTTCACTATGACAAAGCAAAAACAGGTTCAGACATTTTTGCAAGTTTATAAAAAATAAAAACAGATATACCATTTACGTAAGTATTCAGACCCTTTACTCAGTACTTTGTTGAAGCACCTTTGGCAGCGATTACAGCCTCAAGTCTTCTTGGGTGTGACGCTACAAGCTTGGCACACCTGTATTTGAAGAGTTTCTCCCATTCTTCTCTGCAAATCCTCTCCAGCTCTGTAAGGTTGGATGGGGAGCGTCGCTGCACAGCTACTTTCAGGTCTCTCCAGAGATGTTCAATTCCGGGCTCTGGCTGGGCCACTCAAGGACATTCAGAGACTTTTCCCGAAGCCACTCCTGCGTTGTCTTGGCTGTGTGCTTAGGGTTGTTGTCCTGTTGGAAGGTGAACCTTCGCCCCAGTCTGAGGTCCTGAGCGCTCTGGAGCAGGTTTTCATCAAGGATCTCTCTGTACTTTGCTACGTTCATCTTTCCCTCGATCCTGACTAGTATCCCAGTCCCTGCCGCTGAAAAACATTCCCACAGCATGATGCTGCCACCACCATGATTCACTGTAGGGATGGTGCCAGGTTTCCTCCAGATGTGATGCTTGGCATTCAGGCCAAAGAGATCAATCTTGGTTTCATCAGACCAGAGAATCTTGTTTCTCTTGGTCTGAGAGTCTTTAGGTGCCTTTTGGCAAACTCCAAGCGGGCTGTCATGTGCCTTTTACTGAGGAGTGGCTTCCGTCTGGCCATTCTACCATAAAGGCCTGATTGGTGGAGTGCTGCAGAGATGGTTGTCCTTCTGGAAGGTTCTCCCATCTCCACAGAGGAACTCTAGAGCTCTGTCAGAGTGACCATCAGGTTCTTGGTCACCTCCCTGACCAAGGCCCTTCTCCCCTGATTGCTCAGTTTGGCCGGGCGGCCAGCTCTAGGAAGAGTCTTGGTGGTTCCAAACTTCTTCCATTTAAGAATGATGGAGGCCACTGTGTTCTTGAGGACCTTCAATGCTGCAGAAATGTTTTGACACCCTTCCCCAGATCTGTGCCTCGACACAATCCTGTCTCGGAGCTCAACATATAGACAGGTGTGTGCCTTTCCAAATCATGTCCAATCAATAGAATTTACCACAGGTGGACTCCAATCAAGTTGTAGAAACATCTCAAGGATGATCAATGGAAACAGGATGCACCTGAGCAAAATTTTGAGTTTCATAGCAAAGGGTCTGAATACTTACGTAAATAAGGTTTTTCTGTTCTTTCCTGTGGATATTTAGCCTACAATATCAAGCAGCATGAGGACGAACCGCACAGACAACTGGTAGAGTTTTTAAATATCATTTTATTCAACATTCTGGCTTGGAAATAACATTTTACACTATTTTCCAGGCATTAGTTTCAGGCTGTATATACCAAGTCATTGTGTATTACAGCCTGATTTAATCAGATTAGCTGCATGCAACTGACTGTCTCATAACTACCTATTTTTTTTATTTTGCAGCTGAACGCTGATGTTGTGCCCAAAACAGCAGGTAGGGGGAGAACAACAACTATTCAATAGTGTTTGATCAAATTTAACTTTTTTACATTTTAGTCATTTAGTAGACGCTCTTATCCAGAGAGCGACTTACAGTTAGTGAAAGTTTATTGGTGGCGTACACCGTTTTGCCGACGTTATCACAGGTGCAGTGACATGCTTATTAGGTGGTGGGAGGAGGGTTATCCTGGAGAGATACCCTCCTGTAGGTTTACATCTATCTAGTCCAGGGCTCTCCAACCCTGTTCCAGGAGAGATACCCTCCTGTAGGATTTCACTCCAACCCTAATCTAGCGCACCATATTCTAATAATTAGCTGGTTGATACGCTTAATCAGGTTAGTTACAACTGGGTTTGGAGCGAAAACCTACAGGAGGGGATCTCTCTCCTGGAATAGGGTTGGAGAACCCTGGACTAGATAGATGTAAACCTACAGGAGGGGATCTCTCTCCTGGAACAGGGTTGGAGAACCCTGGACTAGATAGATGTAAACCTACAGGAGGGTATCTCTCTCCTGGAACAGGGTTGGAGAACCCTGGCTAAACATTGTTTCTCCCTCTCAGAGAACTTCAGAGCTCTGTGCACAGGAGAACATGGCTTTGGCTACAAGGGATCCATCTTCCACAGGGTCATCCCTCAGTTCATGTGCCAGGTGGGTAAAGTAATGTTTAGTTGTTCCTTTGATAACCTATACCTTTTTCATTGTGGGAACTCATTGTATCTTTGCCCCACACACGTAAGCCTGTCTCTGACCCCTCTCAATGTGTCTGTTCAACACACTCTAGGGGGGAGACTTCACTAATCACAATGGAACCGGAGGGAAGTCTATCTATGGACCCAAATTCAAAGACGAGAACTTCAAATTGAAGCACACAGGACCTGGTAAGTGATTCACCCTTTCTGTTTGTGCTATCATGCCAACTCCCAATCATTCATTATCATGTGAAAGAAATGGCTTGACGATGACTGCAATGGAATTGACAAGTGCACAAACAGATCTGGGACCATGCTAGATTTAAAATGTATTTGCAGAATACTGTAGCCTACCTTTGGGCTATTTGAATGAATCCCCTCCGTACCACTAGATGGCAGCATTGCACTGCTGATATTTAAACGAGCGCTTAACGGCATAACCAACTTAATGTGGTCGAGGACGATTTCCCTATTTCGGTTAACACAGCCATAAGGAATCAATTGACCAAATATTGCTTTTCTTAGCTGTTTCTGATTGGGCCTCTTGATAGATGGATGGCTAACTTGATATCAAGGATGTTGTCATAGTAACTCAGCTCGTCTTCAGCAGTGCAGTGTGGGCAGTACCTAACTGAAACTCAGCTCGTCTTCAGCAGTGCAGTGTGTGCTGTACCTAACTGAAACTCAGCTCGTCTTCAGCAGTGCAGTGTGTGCTGTACCTAACTGAAACTCAGCTCGTCTTCAGCAGTGCAGTGTGTGCTGTACCTCCACTGACTTGCCTGGCAGCACTTAGGGTCTAGTTACGCAATGTACTGTTTCTTTTCCATTTAGGCATTCTGTCAATGGCCAACGCTGGGCCCAACACCAACGGCTCTCAGTTCTTCATCTGCACCGAGAAGACAGAGTGGTACGTACAGACAGACAGACAGACATACCAGTGGTACGTACAGACAGACAGACAGACAGACAGACAGACAGACAGACAGACAGACAGACAGACAGACCAGGGCCTGCTGTGTCCATAAAGCGTCTGAGGAAGACTGCTGCTCTACAGTGCCTTCGGAAAGTATTCAGACCCCTTGACTTGTTCCACATTTTGTTACGTTACAGCCTTATTCTAAAATGGATTAAATAAATAGAAAATCCTCAGCAATCTACACACAATACCCCATAATGACAAAGCAAAAACAGGTTTTTAGAAATGTTTGCAAATGTATTACAAATAATAAACAGAAATACCTTATTTACTTTTAAATGTATTTACACAACATGCCTACCACTTTGAAGATGCAAAATAATTTTTTTGTGTGAAACAACTTGAGCGTGCATAACTATTCACCCCCCCCCCCCCCCCCCCCCCCAAAGTCAATACTTTGTAGAGCCACCTTTTGCAGCAATTACAGCTGCTAGTCTCTTTGGGTATGTCTCTATAAGCTTGGGACATCTCGCCACTGGGATTTTTGCCCATTCTTCAAGGCAAAACTGCTCCAGCTCCTTCAAGTCCCTGCCGATGAAAAACATCCCCATAGCATGATGCTGCCGCCACCATGCTTCACTGTGGGGATGGTGTTCTCGGGGTGGTGAGAGGTGTTGGGTTTGCGCCATTTACATTTACGTCATTTAGCAGACGCTCTTATCCAGAGTGACTTACAAATTGGTGCATTCACCCTATAGCCAGTGGGATAACCACTTTACAATATGTTTTATTTTTTTTATTTTTTTGGGGGGGGTGGGGTAAGGGGGGGTAGAAGAATTACTTTATCCTATCCCAGGTATTCCTTAAAGAGGTGGGGTTTCAAATGTCTCCGGAAGGTGGTGAGTGACTCCGTGAGTGACTCCACTTTGTCCCTGACCTGTTTGGAGAGCTCCTTGGTCTTCATGGTGCCGCTTGCTTAGTGGTGTTGCAGAATCTGGGGCCTTTCAGAACAGGTGTGTGTATATATACTGAGATCATGTGACACTTAGATTGCATACAGGTGGACTTTATGTAACTAATTATGTAACTTCTGAAGGTAATTGGTTGCACCAGACCTTATTTAGGGGCTTCATAGCAAAGGGGGTGAATACATATGCATGCACCACTTTTCCGTTATTAATTTTGTATAATTTTATGAAACAAGTTATTTTTTTCATTTCACTTTACCAATTTGGACTATTTTGTGTATGTCCATTACATGAAATCCAAATAAAAATCAATTTAAATTACAGGTTGTAATGGAACAAAATAGGAAAAACTCCAAGGGGGATGAATACTTTTGCAAGGCACTGTACCTAGAGCTGGCCGCCCGGCCAAACTGAGCAATCGGGGGAGAAGGGCCTTGGTCAGGGAGGTGACCAAGAACCTGATGGTCACTCTGACAGAGCTCCAGAGTTCCTCTGTGGAGATGGTTGTCCTTCTGGAAGGTTCTCCCATCTCTGCAGGACTCCACCAATCAGGCCTTTATGGTATAGTGGCCAGGCAGAAGCCACTCCTCAGTAAAAGGCACATGACAGCCCGCTTGGAGTTTGCCAAAAGGCACCTAAAGACTCTCAGACCATGAGAAACAAGATGCTCTGGTCTGATGAAACCAAGATTGAACTCTTTGGCCTGAATGTCAAGCGTCACGTCTGGAGGAAACCTGGCACCATCCCTACGGTGAAGCATGGTGGTGGCAGCATCATGCGGTGGGGTAGTTTTCCGATGGCTGGTACTGTGAGACTAGTCAGGATCGAGGTAAAGGTGAACGGAGCAAAGTACAGAGAGATCCTTGATGAAAAACTGCTCCAGAGCGCTCAGTACCTCAGACTGGGGCGAAGGTTCACCTTCCAACAGGACAACAACCCTAAGCACACAGCCAAGACAACGCAGGAGTGGCTTCGGGACAAGTCTCTGAATGTCCTTGAGTGGCCCAGCCAGAGCCCGGACTTGGACCCGATCGAACATCTCTGGAAAGACCTGAAAATAGCTGTGCAGCGACGCTCCCCATCCAACCTGACAGAGCTGGAGAGGATCTGCAGAGAAGAATGGGAGAAACTCCCCAAATACAGGTGTGCCAAGCTTGTAGCGTCATACCCAAGAAGACTCAAGGCTGTAATCACTGCCAAAGGTGCTTCAACAAAGTACTGAGTAAAGGGTCTGAATACTTATGTAAATGTGATATTTCATTTTTATCTGTTATACATTTGCAAAAATGTCTTAACCTCTTGTTTTGTCATTATGGGGGTATTGTGTGTAGATTGACGAGGGGGGGGAAACAATGTAAGCAATTTTAGAATAAGGCTGTAACGTAACAATGTGGAAAAAGTCAAGTGGTCTGAATACTTTTCCAAAGGCACTTTAGGATCAGTTATGCCATTTATATCATAAAGAATAATATTGTACGGAGAGTGAGGACCTGATCCTAGATAAGTTGAGACGCTTTCTAAATACAGACCCCAGACCATTATGACTTTCTTTCCCAGTCCGGGGGGAAATATAATACACCTCTTCATCTTCTCTCTCAGGCTGGATGGCAAGCATGTTGTGTTTGGCGCTGTGACCCAGGGACTGGACGTGATCAGGAAAGTGGAGATGTTCGGATCCCGGTCCGGCCGTACCTCCAAGAGGATCACCATCGCAGACTGTGGAGAGCTTAAGTAGCCTGGGAGTCCCAAATTTCATCATATTCCCTATATAGTGCACGACAGAGGGAGATGGGACACAGGCATGGAGCGGGGCGCGATGGTTTCTATGTGAACTGGTCGATGGCAGGGTGGTAGCCCGCATGTGGTTTTATTTGGCCCCCGAAGTTTTCTGAGGAAAAAAACGTTTATTTTTTATTTTTTTATTGTTGGACATAAAAGACTATAAAAACATCAGGAAATGAGTTCCAAGTGATTTTTAATTTAAGAAATCTTTTTCCAAGTATTCCCACACATAATAGAGACACGTGATCGCATACAAACGTAAGCAAGGTTTGAAATGATCAGCATAGGTCTTCCTCTTTTAAACGCAGCCATTGTGTCTGTTCTGAGTGTTGACAATAGTGGATTGTTTTTCAGGGATATTGTGTCAAACACTGTTTGGGGGGAAAGGGAGAGTTAAGACTTATTCTGTGATTGGATCTTTTCGATAAATAACTCCTCCAATGTGAACGTGTCCAATAAACCAGTTTTGTGTGTGTGCGTACGCATCAGTCAAAATGTTTTGCGGTGGGGATCGGGAGTAACATCTGAGATGAGGGTTTTAATTTCCTCTTGTGGAGAAACAGCTTGGCTCTGAATGTGTTGTATTTGGCTCTGCCTTCCATTTCACCAATGATCTTGTTAAGTCAGGAAGAACCATTTTATTTTGGGCTGGGTTTGACTAATACAAGTAGGATGAGAAGATTCAGTTGCTTATCTTGTCTGAATGATCTTTGTCACGTTGGAGTGGAAAGACTAACATGAAGAGGTGGAATTGTTCACATATACCAGCTCAGGACTAGACTATGCTAGCTAGGTTTCTACCCAATTGCTGACAGATTTTCATGTGAATATTCTTAAAATCAGCATAAAGTAATGTGCACATTTTCCCACCAGAGATGTTTCCATCAAATTGAGTTTTTGCGGATGAAAGGCTGACGCTGTGCAAATAAAAAGTACTTTTGTGGGTCAATTCCCATGTAGCCTACCGAAGTGGAATGGGTTTCCATCACATTTTCAACTCTATTGATGGTTTTGTCACTAGAAAATGGTGCGTTATGTAGCGAATGTGCCCACTCTGGTCTTGGCATGTGTGCTCTAGCTTGCGGAGATAGTCTACGTGATGAGATTATTATGGACACAAAAGAGCAAGATGATTTTGTATTTGTCAAATGGCAACCGAGCATCTATCTGCATGCTTTCCTGAGTTGTAGTGGGAAAACCGCACACCAATTGTACTTCCATATGATGGTTATTATATCAATATTTGCACAAAGGCGTTGCCATTTCTCGTGTAATTAATGTTCGACACCAAAGATCCCACCTTGCCTGGTGCATTTTGTTCTGTCGTCACTGGAAAGCTTACCGCGAAATTTGCTGTCATTCATTTTTTTTTCTTTCTTACATGTGCTGTACTCGCATACTGGGGGAAAAAAATGTAATACAGCAAAGTTAATCATTTAAAAAAGATTTGTATACAAATATCCCAAAAATTGTTGTCCACGTTTAATTTTCCACAGCCAACAATACGAGTAGTCTAAGCAACAGAAAAACCAGAGAACCCCATAGTAGAGTAGTTGACCTATTCCATTGTTCAGCGTGTCGAATTCTATGCAAGAAAATAATATTCCTCTATATACTCAGTTGTTGTAGCCTAAAACATTCTTCATGCAGTCGCGGGAAAAAACCTTTTTTTGAAAGCAGTTTTGATAAAGAGGATCACTGAGCTTTCTAGATTTACTAGTCTACCCTTATTTCTCAAATCAAAGCAGTTAGTAAAATGCACCGTTTTAGCAGCAGCATGTAAACAGTAGGCTACATTTATATTTACGCTACATTAACCTTGGTTGGCTGAGTGCAGTGTAATATTTTTTTGGGGGGGCTTTAAAGTCATCAATATATTACTATACCTAGCAAGAAGATAGCCAAATGTTTAGCCTTTACAGTTTGTGATCTAGCTAATGATTAGCCTAACGTTTAGCCTTTACAGTTTGTGATCTAGCTAATGATTAGCCGAATGTTTAGCCTTTACAGTTTGTGATCTAGCTAATGATTAGCCTAATGTTTAGCCTTTACAGTTTGTGATCTAGCTAATGATTAGCCTTTACAGTTTGATCTAGCTAATGATTAGCCTTTACATTTTGATCTAGCTAATGATTAGCTTTACAGTTTGATCTAGCTAATGATTAGCCTTTACAGTTTGATCTAGCTAATGATTAGCCTTTACAGTTTGATCTAGCTAATGATTAGCATTTACAGTTTGATCTAGCTAATGATTAGCCTTTACAGTTTGATCTAGCTAATGATTAGCCTTTACAGTTTGATCTAGCTAATGATTAGCCTAATGATTAGCCTTTACAGTTTGATCTAGCTAATGATTAGCCTAATGTGGTAAATGGGCAATCCTCAGCCTATTAATTACTAGCCACTATGCTACATCAGGTGGGCTGCATCAGGAGGGCTACATCAGGTGGGCTGCATCAGGTGGGCTGCATCAGGTGGGCTACATCAGGTGGGCTGCATCAGGTGGGCTACATCAGGTGGGCTGCATCAGGTGGGCTACATCAGGTGGGCTGCATCAGGTGGGCTACATCAGGAGGGCTACATCAGGAGGTAATAACTATTGCTAAATAGATCACCTGCCTGATCGTATGGACTAATAAGTTATATTGGGATCATTTCTGGAGGGTGTTTATATTGTCTGCATTTTATTTTCATTTTGTAATAGGATGTCATCGTAGGCCTCTGGGTTCATGTCCAAGGAAACACGTGTAATAGGATGTCATTGTAGGCCAATGGGTTCATGTCCAAGGAAACACGTGCACACTGACCGTAGCGCCGAACCTACCGAGTTGATTTATGCCCTGTACAATGTTTTAATTGTATGTCGCCGTCAGTAATACCCACATACGTATTACATTTCACTTCAGTCCACTGACTATTCATCTCTTTCAATTTGTAGCCTACATGTTGCTTCACTCCATTACATCGTTCATTTATCTTTCTTTCCTCTATCAAGTCTGTGTGGTCGTTCCTGATGGTCGTTCCCGAGTGGCGCAGTGGTCTAAGGCTGTGGCGCAGTGGTCTAAGGCTGTGGCGCAGTGGTCTAAGGCTGTGGCGCAGTGGTCTAAGGCTGTGGCGCAGTGGTCTAAGGCTGTGGCGCAGTGGTCTAAGGCTGTGGCGCAGTGGTCTAAGGCTGTGGCGCAGTGGTCTAAGGCTGTGCCACTAGAGATCCTGGTTCGAATCCAGGCTGTGTCCGGGAGACACATGGGGCGGCGCACAATTGGCCCAGCGTCGTCCAGGGTAGGGGAGGGAATGGCCGGCAGGGGATGTAGCTCAGTTGGTAGAGCATGGCATTTGCAACGCCAGGGTTGTGGGTTCGATTCCAGTATAAAAAATAAAAATGTATGCACTCACTAACTGTAAGTCGCTCTGGATAAGAGCGTCTGCTAAATGACTAAAATGTAAAAGTAAAAGTAAAATGTAGTGGTTCATATTAGGCTAACGTATTACAAGTTTAGGACATGTAGCCTATTTGAATCATTATGGAACGCAGACCATACGTAGCAGTTTGAACTGTTTACGACTGAACTGTTGTCATTTAGGGTGGATTTATATTGTTTAACCCCTAATATACACGTTTCTCATCTTCCAATATTTCATGGATTGAACAATTGGATATGGTGACTTTCAGGATGAAGCAAACCACTATTTTTCATTCACTAATATACACTGCTCAAAAAAATAAAGGGAACACTAAAATAACACACCCTAGATCTGAATGAATGAAATAATCTTATTAAATACTTTTTTCTTTACATAGTTGAATGTGCTGACAACAAAATCACACAAATTATCAATGGAAATCAAATTTATCAACCCATGGAGGTCTGGATTTGGAGTCACCCTCAAATTAAAGTGGAAAACCACACTACAGGCTGATCCAACTTTGATGTAATGTCCTTAAAACAAGTCAAAATGAGGCCCAGTAGTGTGTGTGGCCTCCACATGCCTGTATGACCTCCCTACAACGCCTGGGGATGCTCCTGATGAGGTGGCGGATGGTCTCCTGAGGGATCTCCTCCCAGACCTGGACTAAAGCATCCGCCAACTCCTGGACAGTCTGTGGTGCAACGTGGCGTTGGTGGATGGAGCGAGACATGATGTTCCAGATGTGCTCAATTGGATTCAGGTCTGGGGAACGGGCGGGCCAGTCCATAGCATCAATGCCTTCCTCTTGCAGGAACTGCTGACACACTCCAGCCACATGAGGTCTAGCATTGTCTTGCATTAGGAGGAACCCAGGGCCAACCGCACCAGCATATGGTCTCACAAGGGGTCTGAGGATCTCATCTCGGTACCTAATGGCAGTCAGGCTACCTCTGGCGAGCACATGGATGGCTGTGCGGCCCCCCAAAGAAATGCCACCCCACACCATGACTGACCCACCGCCAAACCGGTCATGCTGGAGGATGTTGCAGGCAGCAGATCGTTCTCCACGGCGTCTCCAGACTCTGTCACGTGCTCGGTGTGAACCTGCTTTCATCTGTGAAGAGCACAGGGCGCAAGTGGCGAATTTGCCAATCTTGGTGTTCTCTGGCAAATGCCAAACGTCCTGCACGGTGTTGGGCTGTAAGCACAACCCCCACCTGTGGACGAAGGGCCCTCATACCACCCTCATGGAGTCTGTTTCTGACCGTTTGAGCAGACACATGCACATTTGTGGCCTGCTGGAGGTCATTTTGCAGGGCTCTGGCAGTGCTCCTCCTGCTGCTCCTTGCACAAAGGCGGAGGTAGCAGTCCTGCTGCTGGGTTGTTGCCCTCCACGGCCTCCTCCACGTCTCCTGATGTACTGGCCTGTCTCCTGGTAGCGCCTCCATGCTCTGGACACTACGCTGACAGACACAGCAAACCTTCTTGCCACAGTTCGCATTGATGTGCCATCCTGGATGAGCTGCACTACCTGAGCCACTTGTGTGGGTTGTAGACTCCGTCTCATGCTACCACTAGAGTGAAAGCACCGCCATCATTCAAAAGTGACCAAACATCAGCCAGGAAGCATAGGAATTGAGAAGTGGTCTGTGGTCACCACCTGCAAAACCAGTCCTTTATTGGGGGTGTCTTGCTAATTTCCTATAATTTCCACCTGTTGTCTATTCCATTTGCACAACAGCATGTGAAATGTATTGTCAATCAGTGTTGCTTCCTAAGTGGACAGTTTGATTTCACAGAAGTGTGATTGACTTGGAGTTACATTGTGTTGTTTAAGTGTTCCCTTTATTTTTTGGAGCAGTGTATTTACTGTGTAAAGGTTCCCCATCCCTGTTTATGCATCATTCATAAATACTTTCCTAACCCTAAATAATATACAAGATCAGAGCATAATATTTTTTATTTATTTGTATCTACCAATTGGTGCTGAAAAGGAGACGAATATGCATGTATTTAGATTTCTTTCATTGATCCCTATTCTGAACCTGTCTCTATATATATTCTAGTGAGTCTGTCAAGGAACATTTGTATTAAAGGTACACCGTATTTAAAGGAATGGCTTTAGATAAATGTACTAAAAACCCTATTAAATGAACTCCACAAGAAAATCTGTTGGTCAGCAAGTGGGAGGGTGTTCACACCTGCAAAACCTTATATGCACCTGCATACAGTCAGTCTGAATACCAACTTCTGAGAAGTGCTTTAATCAAATAATGGAAAAAATGAATAGATTTCATAAGTCTGAATCGGGCCCATTGTGCGTACTGTTGGTTTCACAGCAGGAGTTAGAACACCCTTCACAGTTCCATCAGAACACCCTTCACAGTTCCATCAGAACACCCTTCACGGTTTCCAGAACACCCTTCACGGTTCCATCAGAACACCCTTCACGGATCCATCAGAACACCCTTCACGGTTCCATCAGAACACCCTTCACGGTTCCATCAGAACACCCTTCACGGATCCATCAGAACACCCTTCACGGATCCATTAGAACACCCTTCACAGTTCCATCAGAACCCCCTTCACAGTTCCATTAGAACATTCCCATTTTTACAGTACTGAGCCCATATGATTTAGCCTGGTCCCAGATCTGTGGACTCCTTCTATAGCCTGGTCCCAGATCTGTGGTCTCCTTCTATAGCCTGGTCCCAGATCTGTTGTCTCCTTCTATAGCCTGGTCCCAGATCTGTTGTCTCCTTCTATAGCCTGGTCCCAGATCTGTTGTCTCCTTCTATAGCCTGGTCCCAGATCTGTTGTCTCCTTCTATAGCCTGGTCCCAGATCTGTTGCCTCCTTCTATAGCCTGGTCCCAGATCTGTGGTCTCCTTCTATAGCCTGGTCCCAGATCTGTGGACTCCTTCTATAGCCTGGTCCCAGATCTGTTGTCTCCTTCTATAGCCTGGTCCCAGATCTGTTGTCTCCTTCTATAGCCTGGTCCCAGATCTGTTGTCTCCTTCTATAGCCTGGTCCCAGATCTGTTGCCTCCTTCTATAGCCTGGTCCCAGATCTGTGGTCTCCTTCTATAGCCTGGTCCCAGATCTG